GGGGCCACCGAAACGAGGCAATGGATAGATGGATGGCTGGCTGGGACAATCGCGGGGAGCGTCTCTCTCGGAGTAGGGGTGTTTCACGGGGGTTTGTTTAGGTTCCCGGGCGCGAAAGGCACTCAACCCGCTAATCTATTTAGCCGTAGTGTTTGATATGGAATTAATGAGGCCCGCCGGCATTATGCTCGAGGCCCGTAGATTTTCAGTTTAGTCGTGGAAATAAAAGGGAGGGGGGGGCCTTATGGTTCCCAGTTGCGTTCACCTTTTCATAATGGGGATCGCCTCTTACGATCCGCCAGCTGCAACACGTCGTTGATACTTTGAGATTTTGTAGCGACGATACATCTAACCCTTACAAAATATATAATTCAGCGATGAATTCAACATTTAAGAAAAATTTCACACAGGTATTATATTTGCATCGTCAATCGAAGAAGTTGGAACGTTTTTTTGCTTTAGAATTGATTATAATCAAATAAAAAAAAAAGCTCAAACAAATATTAAAAAAAATTAAATTAATTAAAAAGAAAATAAAGTGAATTAAATTAAATTAATTTAATTGGATACTAATTAGAGTCCTGCTTCTCGATGTTACAGTGTCCTGTGACAGTGAACTCGTCGTTGGCGCCGTCCTCGGCCTCGCCCGCAACCGGTGCGATCCTGAGCGCGGGCGGCTCGTCCTTGGTCAGCAGCGTAGCCGCCAGTACGACGACGAATCATCCCCTGGACGTAGCCGGTCTGTCGCAAGCGAGGATGGCGGTGACGAGCGCGATCGTGAGACCGCCCGGCAGTCCCACTACCTCGGTCAGCCCGTCCCAGGGTCACCCGCCGCCATCGGCTGGCGGCCCCGCCGCGGCTAGATGCTGCGACACCGGTCGGCCGATCTTCACGGATCCGTTGACGGGTCAGACCGTTTGCTCCTGTCAGTACGAGCTACTGGGCGGCTATCAACGTCTAGGTGGCTTGCCCACGGCCGCGCTCTCCATGTACAGCGCGCCATACGCGGCCGCCGCAGCGGCCGCGGCGTCCGAAGGCATGGCCGCGTACTTTCCCAGCTTGAGCGCCGAGCAGGCGCCCTTCTACACACCTACGGTGAGTTGATGTCGGACAAGTCATATGTCATATGCGTGCGAAATAAAAAGGGCCGAAGTGAAAGATTTCGAAATCGAAATCAAAATCCGACGGTTTTATCCGACTGCGTTTTCCTCTTCCGCGATCGCGAAGTACCTTCTTTCTTCTTCTTTTTTTTTTTTTTTTTTTTTTTTCCTATTTTGCAAGCTTTATACGTTATTACTATTAAAATATATGACTCGTGACCATTTATAAATTGTTGTCAATTATGCCGCGCGCGCGATAAACTCAATATCAGGCCTTCGAATCGGTTGTAGGTAGTATTTCGTCGCAACGGGATATGGTGTGTACTTGGTTTCCAGAATTTGCTCGCGGTGCAGAGAGTAGCGTATCGATAAGCCTGGGAGAGAGAGATAATATCGATGCACGACTGCAGCAATTCGTGAAACAAAGGATATTGCGGATTTTACGATACCATCGATGATAACGTACCCGGAAATTCTGAATACCGTATATGTATTTCCAAGTTAACTATATTTATTTATTTTATTAAAGACGAAACAAGCAAATGTATTTCATGATATAGTGCATTTTATAACGTAACTCATCTCGTTCATTCTCTATAACATAGATATTCGTAAGCGAAAAATCCGGTATGGCAATGTTAGGTTCATACGAATAACCGATAATAATCACGCAGTCGGTAATTTTTCATTACACAACTGATTTCCTTGCAGACAGCAATACAATAAATTAATTTCTCTTATGCATATCCACTTGTATAATTAATATCGCGCTATCATCAAAGTATTCAATTAGCGTCTAGATGTTTTTAAAATGAAAGTAAATAAATATGTATAATGCCGATATGCTGAATGCTTGTTGTATTCAGAGAATAAATTTTTATTTAAATACAATGTTATAGCATCGGCACACGTAATCAAAGCACGCTATTTGTATAATAATTTTAAAAAAATATAGAGATATGAATCCTTAGATGATAATTCTTTACAAACTATTTATATTCCTATGCAAATATTTTCGTAAATGTCACGTATATAAAAGGTTCCCTTACGCTCCGCGTAAAACTTACGACAATTCTGTCGGTGTTTTCAATTTTTACCTGCTCTCTTTCTACCGCTCTTCTCATTCGGCGCAAAAGATTAATATCTGAACGAAGTCGGGTCCATTGGAAGCTCAGGATGCGAGGATTCTCTTCGCTATATTTCCGCATTCCCGTCGCACTACCGTCGATCTCAGGTCGTCGAAAACGCTCAATGTGGCTCTCCAATATCGATAAATGCTCCGCGCGAGCCGGCAATAGTAGCGGAGTTATATTCCGCCGTAAAATTTTTATCACGCGGATTAAATCCCAATCCCGAACGGACTTCTATATTTCTGTATAATCGAGAGAGTGCAGATTAAATTCTGATATGAATTTTTATATTCATGACTCGGTCAAATATTCCGAAATGACGTGTTTATTCAAAGGATTAACGAAGTTTAGCAATCCTTATTTTTTTTTTTTTTCCACAAAGTCGCAGTCGATTTTAAACGTGTTCGCAATTCGCACAATTCGCTACAGTCGTGTGTTCCCGAAACAAAAAAATTGCTCTTTCGTCGTCACTTCTTTCCCGCGTCGCGATTCGCGATATCGAGATGTCATCGCGACTGGATGACGTGTTATTAATGTAGAATCCAGAAGAAGCGCTTTGGCGTGTTCGTTTGTACGTAGGACAAGCGTTATCTGACCACACGCGAAGTGTGTAGTCGAAGAAAATAGCGACCAAGCGTAAATTTATGAATCCGTCCTGTCGTAACAGCGGGACACTGTCGCTCGTTGCCGTGTCGTCGTCGCTAAGACCAAACTGTTATCGTCGCTCTTTATGATCGAGCTTAAGGGACAGGAGTATATAACGTAGCCTGCTCATAACGAGGCAGCAGATTGTACAGGTCGCACATCGACTTCCGTATGCGACGTATCCCCGTGATATCTCCTGCATAAAGTGATTAAGTATCACTTTTTAGCATAAACGTTTATTTCCCTCCTGTCTGCGTTCCATGGCATTCGCATTTATGTTTATGCTTATGATAATTACGGGCGGCGATTTCATAAAAATTTAATTGCGTAATTCCTGTTGCGGACATCGCTTTTCGAACTTCGAACGTTATCGCGTAAACTCAACATCTTTTATTTCCTTTGTCTCTTATTTTGCACATGTTTGAATCCGATATCAGAAAAGAAATTAGTCTAATCCGATATCAGAAAAGAAATTAGTCTTCAAAACAAATATTCTCATATATCAGCAAGAATATAAATTTAAAAATATAATAATATATGATTATAATTTTTTAAAAATTTTAGCCTTGATTTGATTGAATTTATATTGATGCAAGTATTACTTTTATTCAACACAAGAATAAAAATCTCTCATACGAAGATAATATTTTTGTTTACGTAAGAATATCTGTCTTGATTAGACTTAAGATTAACTCTTTTCTGTGGATATTTTATATTGCATTAAAATATTATTATATGTGACGTTTGCGCGTAATTACGCGCAAAAGAAGAAAAAGAAACAGAGAGTGAGTCTTTTATGAGCCTATTATACTCGCTAGATAAAATACGGTAGAAATTTAATAGCGATTGTCCTGTCGTATAAGCGAGGTCGTGGGTTAGAGAAGCAAACAAGAGAGCCACACACATCGATCCTAATTATTATTATCAGCGCTTTGCCAGCTATTCTTTCATCATGGTCGATGAATCGGAGATCGGAGCCGAGTGGCGCGGCCGATACGGGCTAATTACGACATTCGTCCCTAAAAATGGATCTTTCGAGTAATTAACCGCATTCTGCACGATTTCATTTAAAAATGTGCGATAACGAGTGACCGGGCTCGGTGAATGCATTCATGCGCGCGCGCATGAATTGCTAGAATAAATCCCTGGCGCGTGCAGATTCGCGATCGCCAATCCTGCCACCGCTGAAACGACTTGTGAAAATTATCGGCGCGACCGCTAATGGTTCCGCACGTGTATACATGTACGTTAATAATCTCGAGAAAACTGGACGACGTAAAATTACTCCAATTTTCTCAACGTAAACTATTTCGTACAATAATCGTTCTTAATTCTGTTCGTTTATTATTATTTTCTTATCTTGTTCTTTGTTGTTATTTATGTATGTTATAATAGTCGGGCAGGTGCGTGATAGTTATAAATATTCGAAATATTTATTTATTTGTTATGTAGGCTGCCGGTCTGGATCTGAAAGAAAATCTGGGCGCTGGAGCCGCAGCAGCATGGCCTTATCCCTCGGTGTATCACCCTTACGACGCTGCTTTTGCGAGTTATCCCTTCAACGGGTAAGTCTTGTAAATATTTTCCGAAATATTCATCATACGAATTACATGTTTAGCTTATGACATCGATATCTATGCTGTTTATACAAATCTAAACACGAGGCACAACAACAGTTTAATTAGATAACAAACTGCAAATCTCGATGCAAATAAGTCAAACGTTTTCCGGCTCTTATTTTAAATAGAATTACGCAATTGTCAGAAAACTGTCCAGTTGATTTAATGATAAAAGGTCCACAGTATTAGAAAAATCCGTTCGCATGAAGATAATGATAAGGTCCACAGTATTAGAAAAATCCGTTCGCAAAAAGTAATCCGAGCGAAATAACATATTATATCAGCTTTCATAGGAAGATAAAAATTCCTTGAAAGATCCCCGTGAGTGATAGCGAACATCACGTTATAATTTTATTTATCTCTTCGTTGTTGAAAACTTTACAGCGGTCGTGATAACTGTTTTAATGATACCGAAACAATATTACAGCGAAAGAGTACTCTCGCTCTGTAATGACAAGAGCGCAACGCAACGTTCTTTCGCAAATCTACGAGATGAGGGCGAATCTTAATTACCCTGTAATCTCCGCGATGTGTTACGTATTTTCAACATCGACGCGCCTTGGTGTCTTCCATCGCGCGAAGCAGAGAGAGAGAGAGAGAGAGAGAGAGAGAGAGAGAGAGAGAGAGAGAGAGAGAGAGAGAGAGAGAGAGAGAGAGAG